CTTCAAATCTTTCAAAGTGCTCCTCATTTTTGACATAATTATTAATGTTAACTAACAAGTCACATAAAGATGTCACCTGATCAACCTTATTATGTATTTGCTTGTTGATAGACTTTATCCTCTGTATGCTTTGAGTATCAGCTATAAATTGATTACATATCCACAATATTCCTCATGACTTCTTATTAACATAAAGTGTTTCTGACATATATTTTGCCACTTCTGAGTATTGATCGACCAAATGTGACCATCAAGCCTCAAATAGCTCACTGCATTATGAATTTCAACAAACATAGAACTTTTGATGAAATTCTTCAAAATGGAATCTCAATTTACATTTAAGCTTTTTTTAGAGATTCATATCAATATGGAAAATACATAATAAGTGGTTTGTATTAGGATGTATTTCTTTAATCATACTAATCATGGATAGATCAGAATTGGTAAATATGACTTTGGGATTGATGCCCGTTTCCTCAAATAAAGTAGTAAAAATCTATTGAAAAGTATCAAGAGTTTTATCATCTATAACAGCAATAGCTATGATTCTTGATCTGAAATAATTATCAATAACTATCATGACAAAGAGTATCATTTGAAAGTGATTTGTGTTAGATATAGTGTCAATAATTACAATGTCATAGAAATTTTTATATAAAGATCTTTGTGATGGAGACATCCATAATAACCTATTTAATCTTCTAGAAAAAGGATCTAAGTGTAGTTTAACCACCTATAAAGGGTCAAATTCCTTCCAACTTAATAACATTTGAAGCATTTGGAATGCATCTGAGTCATCTGAATTATTTGTAGCTTGAAACTGATATACCGCATTGTAAAGGTCTTTTTTAAAGATAGGGTTATTGGGATAGTTATGTTTAAGTAAAAAGTAAATAGATCCAGAGTCCATCCAGCCTTGAATTACATATTTTTCAATGTCAGATAACATTTCCAGCATTAATTTTCTGAATCTTGATGCCGTTTCATGAATAGTTGTGCTAAGCACGTGATTATGATTATCCACAAATGAAGTAATCTTTAAAATATTGCTTTTTTTAGAGCAGTATACATTAAGCCTTCAGGGACATTCTGTCCATTGTAAAACTGCATTTTGCCATTTAGTGGGATTACAAGTTACTTGAGGATTGTGAATACCTGATCTTGAACATTCTAAAGTAGCATGTTGTATTATATCTCCATCCTTTTGACTAGTTCTAACCCTATAACTAAATCCCTTTTTTTTTGAATAATGATCCATCCACACTTTAAATTCTATCCAGTCTACAAAGGTTAGATCATTATTTAATCCTGAAGTATCTATCAGATTCTCACTTTCCTCTAAATCTGTGTCGATTATAATTTTATTATCAATGTTATTATTTTCTATTAAGGACCCTTGCTCAGAAGGCTGATGATCACTACTAAAATTAGTGATCTTTTAAAAAAGAAGTTGAAAAAGATTAATGTTTAGTGTAAAAACCATAAAGGCACTAGAAAAAAGCTACTCTTACTGGAGATAATAAAAAATCAACAAGAGAATTGATGTCTACCACGTTAAAAATAATGTAGACATAACATTTAATGACAGTCCTGGTAAAACAAAGGATATATGATCTAGCGACAATTCTGATAAAACTGGGTCCTATAAAAATATAATGTAATGTTAATGTCAGGTTATTATTACCACAAAAGTGCCAACAATATATATCCTAAATTTTGGGTATAGTATAAACAAAATCAGTAGAGATGTCTTACAAGAGGTAATGACGGTTCTGGTAAAACTGGAGACATAAGATTCAGTGACAATCCTGGTAAAACTGGGTTCTACAATAATATAACAATTTAAGGTTCCAACAATATGTATTTTAAATTTGGGGTATGAACAAAAATTGGCAGAATGTCTTACAAGAGGTAATGAAAAATTAGCACAAGAATTCATGTCGCCTAGCCCCAGAAATACTGTAAACATATGTGATCTTGGTGAAACCAGAGCTATAGGTTCTAGTGGCAGTTTTAGTAAACCCAGATTCTGTATAAATACAATGATTTAGTGAACGTAAAAGGTCTTTAATTCCTTGCATATACGTTTAAAAAGTTTTTTAATTACACTTTCACTGAGATTTTCTGAATTCATAAATGGTATGTTCATGACACTTGTTTACTCAGTTATTTGATATATTTTTTACGATTGAACCTTTAAACACCCATAGCAAATAATTTTTAGGCTTAGAAAATTGATTCACAGATTTATTAGAAGCGAAAGAAATCAAATCATTATTGTTATTACTTTTATATTTATATTTTAAGGATTACATCATACTTTAGTCATACATGAATCACAACAATGCACTCATATATTATCTTTAAGCAGAGTTCTAATTGCACTAGAGAGACTTTATACCACAGCATGTCTTGGTTACGATTTTTGTAAAGGAACTATGTCTTGTATGTTGTATGAATATGGGCCATCTATGTAAATAAATATAATAATATTATACTGTATATATAGTTTGTAAATAAATACATAATATTGTAATTATAAATATATAAATAATAAATATGTATAATATACACATAGTGTAATTTAAGAAATTTTCTTTAGAAATATATCAAAAATTTTTAATTTTTTAATTTTTTTTAAAAAATTAACCAACTTTGAGATTTTTTTAAACAATATAAAATTAAAATTTAATTTAATTTTTTTTATAAATATATTTTATAAATCTTCAAATATTAAATATATTTATTTAATTACAATATATAAAATTTTGTATAATTACATTTTAATTCAAATGTATCATGTTGATATATTATGCTTAATAAGATGACCAATAGATTTCAAATTTCAGTACTATAATGTAATTAGATGTTCTGCATCATATATTTTATGCATTGTACAAAAAAAATAATAATAACAATAATAATTTTTTTTTATTAATTAGTAACAATTTTTGTTCTAAAAACAAGAAACACAAGTGACTTGCAGAGTCAAATAGTTCTTTGCAATATTAGATAAAGTTAGAAAATAGAAGATATAATTTTTTTATCACAATAATGGATCTATCTTGTTTTATAAAATAAAGAAAAAAATAAGCTTCTAACTTTTTTGTTTTGGTTTTAACTTCTTTGATTTATTTAATAATGCAAGTTTTTGAAATACCTTTACTAAATTTTTGTTCTTAGTAAAAGAGATTATAGCATCTTCAGAAAATTCAGAAAAATTAAAAATTACATAAGTGTATTAGATATGATAAGTATAAAAATATAGTTTTAAATTTAATGCTTAATGTAAGAAAAATAAAATTAAAAAAAAAAAAAAATAGGTTTATATAATTATTTAATAACTTCAAAAAGATTAATTATTAAATTTTGTTTATTTTAATTTAATTGATAATTATTAGAATTTTATATATATATATATATATTTTTTTTTAAATATTAAAGTGAGTACTTGCGACCAGAATTTTATTAATAGTATATTTGGCTAATAGTTGCATTACAACCACAGAAGGCAACTATGAAAAGAGTATACAATTAGCTACTTATACAACTTTAGTTATTGTCTAATTTAAGTAGTCCATCTGAAGGTTCTATACTAGCTGCTATATCTGGAACCTGCTTGTAGGTTCTCTATTTAATCACACTAGTTTCTGTATCTACCTATCTACCTCTGTTTACCAACAATCCCAATCAATGCTAATGAAAATATGCTATGATCACTAGATCTTTAAAGCAGTTCTTTTTTAGAACCTTTGATCTTGCACTAAACCTTCCAGAATCTTCTGTATCTTATTCTTACAGCTGACTCAGTATTGCTATGACCAAGACTAACACTGGTAGTTAAGGTGTACTATTAAACCACTATGCCCTTGTAAAGTTTACCCCAACTCTGGTATTTACTTCACAACATATTTTTACTATTTTGATATTTAATTCAAGTTCCACCAAGTTGCCATTCCAGATAGTCCAAAAAGGTAAATCAAAATCATATACTTTTGGTTTACATGTTTGCCAACATGTACCCTTTTTCTTTAGAACTCAGAAATTTTGATGGCCTGGTTGGTTCATTTGGTTCCTTCTTAAAGACCAGCACATTTGCCTAGTTTTACAAGTTCTAGCTCTATTTCATAAGTTTAGTCTTTACAGTAGCACTGTCAAAAGCTTGGGTTACCTCTCTACTCAGATCTTCCAAGTGGGCTTCCATCTTTCTTCTATTGGTTTTTATAATTTACATGGCCACAAGAACTTATTGTAGGTTTGCACCACCTAGTACTGGTTTGCATTCCTTCATGTAACCACAGACCTTGTCCCAAAAGACAATATCATGTGACTATTACACAAATGCCATGTGATCTGCCAGTCATGCTGGTGTGATATAGATTACAGATGTCTTATCCCAACCAATTGCGAGAAATAGTTAACTGTAATACAGGGAGGATTTTCAAATTTTCTATCAACACTGGGATTTGAACTCTGGATCTGCCACTTGGAGGTTGACAACCTGACCACTTCACTAGGTCACCACACTCTGAAATTTAATTTTTTTACAGTTTCTATTGTAATAACTTATTTTATATTTTTAATTAAAGTTGTAGTACATATTTGCTTGATCAAAATAAGCTTTAAAGAAAAAAATTTGAACCTAATATTAGCCAAACTATAGCTAAATTCATTTTTTATTCTCTTGTAAAACTTTTTTCTTACTTTTTGTCTATACTTCATCCTCTTTTCTCTTATATGTTTTTTGTATAACTATACTATTATTTTTTAACCTATACTTTATTAATTTACACTAAAAGTTTGTAACTCATTTATTAATAAAAACTTATTGAACACAATCTAGTTATTTTTATTTTTGGTTTTTATCAATTGTATACAGTAATTTGTACTACAAATCTTATTTGTGCCAGTATCTGAGTTATATTTGTAATTTCAACTATTCTAGTTATATCTTAGTATTACTTTTATAACATTTCAACTATACAACTCTTGTTTTTATCTACTATCTTTATAAAATTAATTATTCAACTAAATTCATAATTTAGAAACTTTCCTAAATTTTTAACACAATATTTATTTAATTTATAAAAAATTAAAAATATTTATATTAACTAACCAAGAGCCTAATATAGCAGACTTTGCTACTTCTATCAAAACTTCTCTAATAGTTTTAGAATTGTCCTTTATAAAAAAGAAAATGGCAATAATGCTTATCCAATTCTTTTCAAAATTAAACCAACTTCTTGTTTAACTAAAAATCTTAAATTTAACAAAATTACTTATTTCTTTCAAGTTTCTATCTCTATTTCTATAATTATTTGTTTTTATGTCAAATATTATACCAAAATTTATCTTAACTACTAATACCAATTATATTCAAGCTACTGAATTAACTACAGTTTATGTTAACAGTAATTTTAAAAAGAATCTTAACAAACTAATTCAACAATTTATGTCTAATCTCTCTTCTTTAACTAACAGTATCTTTTTATTTATTATATCTGATTTATATTATTATATCTGTCTTAAATGCTTTTTTTCAATTAGTTGTACTAAGAGAAATAAGTATTATTATTCTAATAAAAATACATTATTAAAAATAATAAAGTTTATCATTTTATCTGCATAACTGTCTTATCTTAACATAAAGCTAGTTCATCTCAAACAAAAAAGAACCTTATATAAACCTTTCAAAATATTCTAATCTTAATACTGTTTTTTCTTATCAAAGCTTCTCTATTATCTTTGATCTTATTGACTCTTTTTTTTCTACAACTACTAATACTAATCTTATTACTAATACTAATCTTGCTACTAATACTAATCTTGTTACTAATACTAATCTTGCTACTAATACTAATTTTGTTACTAATACTAAGCATACTACTAACCAACCTTCTATTATTACTATTCCTAATAATACTAATTTAAACTTCAACAACTCTAGTAGCTCTAATCAATCTGATAGTATTCTCAACAAATCTCTTACCTAATCTTATTCAAGTATTCTTAAACCAAAATCTAATCTTACCTATAATTGGCTTATAAACTTTTCTATTATTGAAGAAATACAATCTAATAAAAAACTACAACCTATTTTCTCTCTTCAACTCTTTACTTTTCTTAAAAAATTTCTTTATAATTTTTATTCTAATAAAAAAATTAAATTGGCAACTTTTATTTAATTTGTATTTAAGGTTATATTATCTATATAATCTCCTGATTACTATATCAAGATCACGAGAGGATTAATTAATAATATCCTGACCGTATGTGAATAAGCAGAAACTTTGTTTCTGCTAATTCACAATAGATCAGAATATTATTATTACTAATAGCTAAACAACAATCTGAATTTCTAATTAATCTTATCTACAAAAGTAATCATATTATTAAAAAAAGTGCTACAATCTTCTTAAATCTATTTATTTTCAAATTTATTAATATTCTTTTTATTAAACTTAACTATCTTAAAATTTTTGCATCTCTAGTTACTATTTCTCTATATATTGCTCATAACTGTCTTCAATTTTGTCTTAATATCACATGTTTTTATTTTTTTTTATATAATAATTACTAATTTATTAATTATTAAAATTTGCTAAAGACCTACAACTCAGACCTAAAAAATTCAAAATTGAATTGTTCATTCAAACTACTAACCTTCAACAAAAATATCTTACTATCCAATCTGATGTCAGATTTAACATTAAACTTTTTATTAATGTTTCTAGAATACTCTTTCTTAAAAGATTTTGCATTTCTTCACTTAAAATTCTCTTAATCATTTCAACTCTTGGTTTGAAACCTACTATCTTCTTTATAATCAATAATTCTTATTTAATATTAACAAAAAAAAAGTTAAAACCTTTCTCCAAATTCAATTTTATTAACATTTTATTCTTTAACTTTTAAATTATCTTTCTGAAACCTATATAT